TCTGTGTGATATATTGACGTGAGATGCAAAGATCTCGGCCATGATCGGTAAAAGGTGTTGCGCATTTGCCGAAACGCGCCCCTCCGCGAAGCCCCTGCGCGATGGGCCGCGCGGGGTTGAACGGAGGGCCGTGGGCGCCTGCTTGCCGAACGCGGGCGGAAGCCCGAGTCGTAGAGCAGCAATGCCGATGTGATGCCAACCCGCGCTGTCATAAACCTGGGCAATATCCAGCAGCCCATGCCCGTTTGCCACGCCGAGCCTGCCAGCGACTTCCTCGTCGATGGCCTTGAGGAACACCTCGCGGGCCGCAGCGTCGCCTCTGATGGCTGCGCCCAAGTGCGCCTCGCAGCTGTCCTTCCAGTAACAAACATGGCCCTCGCGCACCTTGGACCATGTCCTGCCGAAGTCCGAGAGCAGGCCAATCGCCCGATCCCCTCGCGCCTTCCCGGGGAGAAGGGTGCCAATGGTGACGCGGATCTGGCGCGGCCATGCCTGATCGAGTTCACATGGACCGCGCAGCGCCGCAAGTTCAGCCATAATTGGGTCAGGAAGCCGATCCAAGTCCTGACAGTTCAACTTGTCGGCCCCCATGGCTGCTGACGACTTCATCTGTCTCAGGGGCTTGTCTGAGCTCATCGATTTCGATCGCTGACAGGGGATTGTCCTGGACCAGGGACCTAATTTCGCGGAAGAGATCCTGGATCGCTCGGGCCCCCAGGGAGTTTCCTGCTGGTGGGTTTTGCGCTGCAGAACACCCCGAGGGTGATGCAGGGAGCCCTCTACTGACTCGACCCACTCCTGAGGCGCAGGGGCCTCGCGTAGAGCGCGGCGCAGCGCGCCGGCGGCAAGAGCGGTCTCGGACCAGTCGCGAAAGCTTTGAAAAGATGGATGAACTGCGCGTTGCGGTCTGCGAGCTCCGCTGCCAATGAGAGCTGCCCGTCGCTGATGGCCTTGTCGCAGATCGGCGTCTGCGCGCTCTGCCACTTGGTCCAGGGTGGGGGGGGGGTCCTTCTGACGCACCGCGCGGTGCGCTCCCGATGGTTGGGTCTGGCGCAGCCCCTTGACGGTCGCGACGTAGCTCTGCTTCTGCTGTCGGCCCTGAAGCTTGCCAGAGAAGTGCTGCGCGCCACGAACTGCAATCGCCAGCCGCGTCCGCCAGCCAGCTACCCGATCGTGCATATGAGTAGGCCGCAGCGGTTTCGCCAGTTGAACTACGCCGAGCCGAAACTGAGAAGCCTGCCCTCTCGACGCCGAAGGTGCAGTCGCCTGGTGATGAGAATGCACGGCTGCCCCAACTGTGCCCACCCAGCTACAATAAGGAGCGGAACTGCGTGACGAAACTTGGATTCCGGCTCCGATCCGACATGCTGCGGATTGAGCAACCGCGGGTGTCGGCTCGCAAGCTTTCGTCGGGACGGAACCAATCTCTTTCCTCGCGCTCAGCCAGGTGGAGACAGGCGCGCAAAAAGGCAGGGGGGCTCGGAGCTCGTGATGCTCGCGGCCAATATAACCTCACCCCACATCTCTGATTCGCTGTTGCTCTCGCTGGCGGCGACCTCGCATCCCGCGCCCGACGCCTCGGCCGCGGGCGCGATCTCCTCCGCGAAGGCGGACGGGAGGAAATGGCGCGCGCTCTCGGGCTCCATCCGAAGGTGCTCCGCGAACGCCGCGATGTGGGACGCGTTCGCTTGCGCGTTAATCTTGAAGTGCAACGCCCGCGTGTCCTGGTCGAAATGCAGCCTGGCGCCGACATTTAGCGGGGTCGCGTCTCCAACGTCCACCGCGTCGGAACCTGCGACCGCGCCCCAGAGAGCGTCGGCCTGCGCCTCGAGGTCGCGGAAGTCCGTTCCAGTAGCCGACATGGTCACAGTCTTCATGGAGGCGTAGGCGTAATCCCCGTCGACCTTCTCAGCGCCCCAGAAATACCAGCCCGCCTCCGCAGGGTAGATGGCCGACCACTCCCGCTCCAAGTCCCACGAGCAGCGCGCTGGTTGCCCCTCTCCTCCTGAAAAGCGGGTTCCATGCCCTCGCCTTTCCTCCATCTGAGGTAGTGGAAGCCTTTCTCGAACTCGCCGGGGCTGCGCTCGACGAAGATGGCGCAAGCCCCAGCTGTGCCAACGTCGAGAATAAGGCGGGCGGGCCACGTGCCATCATCAAAGTTCAGCGTGTATGCGCTGCCCGTCTCCAGGTTGTCATAAGGAAGCGTTGGGGTCGAGGTAGTCCACGCCGACCCAGCGGTCGACTCGACGGCTTCGAGCGATGCAGCAAACAAATCGGACAGCGGATGCTAGAAGCAAACAGAAACTGCATAAACATAGACGGTTGGCGCTCCGCGCGGAGTTCTTGGATCTGCGGTGGGCCCTCCTCCCTGGCGCGCGGGGCGCGCCATGGGCGGCGCCGGGGTGGCCCGGCGCGGATCCAAGAAATACGCGCAGACCGCCACGAGTTTATGGATGTGCTTTTTTTCCTTCTTCGAGATGCACAAAAATTTTTGCGGAGAAGTCGGCGTAGCGTCAAGTCGGGCACGTCGCCCGACAAGCGGACTTTGGACGAACATAAGAACATGTCAGAAAATGTTGAAACATGGCAAACAAAAACTCTAAACAACGTCCCAACACTATGTTTGCCTATGTGTGAATACTCTTCCTGTGCAGGGATATGCCCGAGTCAAGTGTGGCACCCGGCGGAAGGGTCGAGCGTGCCAGCCCACGCCCACGGGCTCCCCCGGGACAGAGGGGAGCAGAGCAGCAGCCCAGTTGCGAGGATCCGCGGGAACGCTGGGGGCGCCACGGTTTGCAGGAGCGAAGATTGCTCGGGCCCTCTCGAAGGATGGGCCCTCTCGAAATTTTTCGCGCCCTCTCGAGACGCCGGGACGCTGAACCACCGCGCGCGCGGCAAGCTGATCGGGAACAGCAGCACGCGCCCAATCCCGCGGGCGGCCCTTTTCACCCTGGCTGACCCTGGGTAAGGGTTTAATTCGGACCCATGAATTCGAAGGCTGGGCACGGGGCAAGGGACTCTGCGAGGAAACATTTCGGAGCTGGAACCGGATCTTAAGCTCAAACGAGATGGGCCCAAATCGTGACGGAATAATCATCGATATGTTTTGGATTTTGAACAGGTTTTGTCCTCTCGACAAGTTTCTTGGGGACCTCGCATGGCTCTCGTCGACTTTCCAGGGCGGCTGGGAAGGCATGTCGCGGCGTCTTGGAACGATCTGGGGGCTCTTTTGCTGCGTCTTGGAAGGGTTTTGTGATTTCTGGAGGCCACACTGGGCCGTCTTAGCGGATTCGGGGGCCGTTTTGACGACCTCTGGACCCGTTTTGGACCTTTCTGGAAGCGCCCCCACGGCCCTGGTCACCCAACGGGGGATACCTACGCCGCTGTGTGCAAATACGTCGGTAATTACACACATATATATATAAAACACTTGCAATAACACTTGCAAACACGCAGACACGACATACATTATACACATGCACTTCTTGGCGTCGCAGCCCCACGCGCAGTGACAGGGCGGAGAAAATGCGCGCACGCGCAAACCGCGTACACATCTACATGCACTGGGTGCCATCTCACCCGAGTCTCTACCTCAAAGGGGGTGATTATGGTGAGCGTTTTCTGACTTTGCGTTTCGACATTGAGCGAAGAGGGGGGAATGGAGGGGGTCTGGCTCAGAACCTCTGCTTTGTGCGACTGTGTGCGACAATACGTCCTATGGGGGAGGAACTCCACCCGCTCGAAACAGGCGCCAACAAACAGTTAAGATCCACTCCATGGGGGGGGGGTTGTTGGGCCCGCGCCGATCGGCAAAATAATGAATAAAAAACTATCACCTGGCGATGAGGAGACCCCGTTGCTTCGTATCTCATTGAGGGGATCCACAGAGGGAGGCTCAGAGGCGAGACGCTGACCTGGAATCGGCGATTCATCGCCGATAGAGTAGCGGTAGTCCACGGATAGAGAAGCCGCAAGATCCTAGACGGGATTGGGATCCCATGTCCCGATTGTCGATGGATGGGCGATCGGGGGTCGATGCTCCCCCCCCCTGGGCCCCTGGGCCACTCACCCCATCAATTATCCTCGTCGTCTGGTTTTCGGGTTATCACTCGGGTTTCCGGCGGCCGGTCGGGGCAGCTGCTGACACAAACCCCGAGGCAAGATTACCTCCAAGAACCGACGAGAACATCCGGAAGCCCCGAGCTACATGGGCGAAACCACCAGACAAAACCCGGACCAATTCCCCCCCGCTCTCGTGGCCCATGGTTAGCCACCAGAGGCCTCCTAGATGGGGTCGGAGTGGATGTGCTCGGAGGGTCGCGCCGCATCGCAGATGCATCGGCCATGCATCGGCGATGCATTAGCGACGCATCCACGATGCGCTGGCGATGCATCGGCGACGTCGACGTGAAGCAACTCGGGCTGTACATCGAGCCGCATCGGCGATGCGTCGGCGATGCAGCGCGATCCTCTGACCCCATCCGCCCCGACCCCACCTAGGAGGCCTAGAGTTAAGTCGGGCCTGTCCCCCTACAGGGGGACTTTCAACGACAAATTCAAAAAATGCCCCCAAAATAATCAACAAATGATGCAAAAATAGTCCAGGTTCTATTTTTTAATATTTAAGGGTATTCTTTGGGATTTTTCTTTAATTTTTCGTCGAAAATCCCCCTGTAGGGGGACACGCCCGAAATAAGCCTAGAGCCACTCCCTTCCTCTGGCGGGTGCTAGTGGAAGGTGGCTCAAATGGGGGGGAAGAAAAGAACCCTTCAGGGCCCCTTTTGGAGCCAGCGAGTGCCCAAAAGGCGCGCCAAAAGGTCCCCTTGGGGTGCCCCCCAGGAGGAGGAGGAGGAGGAGGAGGAGGAGGAGGAGGAGGAGGAGGAGGAGGAGGAAAAGGAGGAGGAGGAAAAGGAGGAGGAGGAGGAGGAGGAGGAGGAGGAGGAGGAGGGGGCCACCCCTCATTAGCACCCGCCCGACCCTCCGCGGCGGGGCCCTTGGGCCTCAGGTCCGGGTTGCCCCAGTAGCAGTGCGCCTCGTTCGGACCCGGCCACCGGAGCCAGCCCTTCGGACGCGCGTTCGGCGCGCGCCCGGCGTTCTCGCTCGCCCCACGGCCCCCCACGGCAAGGATGGGGGGGGGGATCGAGGAGGAGGGCGAAGAGAGTGCAGGGACGAAAACGGAAGCAAGGGAGCGGGGAGAGGGTCGTCGTCAAGGACGAGTTAAGCACCCCTCCAGCACGCCCTCGGCGGGGCGCCAATGCTGGAGAGCACTCCGAGGCTGGAAAGAGCCCGCGGAGCACGCGAAGACGTCTTCGAACCTCGAGCCCCGAACGCTTGTTCAAGACGTCGCGCGTCTGAGGGCGACGCGCTCGCCTGGGAGACCCTCTCAGGGCCCCGTGGAAGGGGACTCCTATCAAGCAGGACATGGGCGCGCCCGAGGAAACTGCAGCCGTTAGCCGAAAGCTGCTCCACTCTTCGTCTTCAGTGTTCCAGATCCTGAATTGCATTATGTGGCTCCCATCGTACTTAAGGACCACATGCCAGAAATAATGTCGAGCTCCCAGAAGTGTCGAAAGAATGTCGAACGAAAGAGTGTCGAAACATTGTCTCCCAGGGCCCGACACGTGAAGATCCTCGAGTTTTGGGGTGCGCTCGCAATTCTTTCTGGTGATCAAGGCTAAAGTAGGTTGGAACATCATAAGACTTGCAGCGACCTGATTTCAACAGGGCTCTGAGGCTCCCTGGGCCCCGGCAGTGCAGACGACCCTCCCTCTGCCGCCAGGAGGAAAGAGGAGATCGGGCCGCCCGAAATGGGCACGGAAAACATGGGCACAATGCCCAACAACAAATGTTGTCCCAAACCAGCAGTGGCCGCTGTTGGGCAGGCGGCCTTTTCTCAAATGGACACAGGCCGCGGCGGCGCGAACGGCGAGTCCTGTTCAAAATGAACAGGAACTGCTGTTGGGCACTGTACCCATTCTTTCCGTACCCATTTCGTTCGTGCAGAGAGGAGATCGGGCCGCCAACGGTGCACTGGCGCGAGCTCAGCCTGCTCTCGTGCGGCAGACCCCTGGGCGGAGAGCGCCGACCGACGCCAGGGCCTTGGCGAAACGGGCACGGCACGGCTCGTCAGGCGGGCGCGAATGTGTCCTGACAGTTTGGCGAAAGACCCGGCCATGTGCAGGCGGGAGGGGAACACCGCAGCATGCGGAGCACGGGGCCACAGAGTTGATTTTTTTTTTGGGGGCGAAACAATCCTCGCGGCCATATCCTCTGGTGTGACGTGGTCTGATCGCAACGAAAACTGCCTGGCCAGCCACGAAGTGTCTCAGGGGCCAGCCACAACGAGGGGTTCCGCCGTGCGGACGCTGTCGCTGGGGCGTGCAGCTGAACTGCTCCCCGCAGGACCACACAATGTGTGAGGGGTGTGCCGAACTGGGGCGGCGGCGCCGTGTGAACCTTGCCACTGGGGCTATCGGCGGAGCTCCCTGTGGGGCCGCGAGAGGTGTGAGGGTGATGCCGAAATTCGTGCAGCACCACCCTGCGAACATTGCCACTTTGGAACTCCCTGCCGGGGCCACAAGACGTGAGGGGTGTACCGAACTCGGTGCGGCGCTGCCATGCGAACCCGCCACTGGGGCCGTCGGTGTGGTTCCCCGTGGGGCCACGAAGTGTGTGAGGGGTGTGCCGAAATGGGCGCGGCGGCGCCATGCGAAACCTGGCACTGGGGCCTTCGGTGGAGCTCCTTGCGGGGCCACGAGACGTGAGGGGTGTGCCGGACTTGGTGTGGCGCGAGCTCACTGTCATACTGCAAAACGTGTGCTGCCCTGCCATGCGAACCCTGCCACTGGAACTCTCGGTTGAACCCACTACGGGGCAACGAATAGTGCGAGGAGAATGCCGAAATGGGGGCTGCGCCGCCATGCGAACCCTGCTACTGGGGGCCTTCCGTGGAGCTCCTTTTGAGGCCACGGAACATATGCGGGGTGCGCCGACAACGGCACCCGCAGAGCAGAGGCAGGAGGGAGGAGGGGGAGGAGGAAACAATGTGAGCTAGATCGTGGCGCTTTCTCCAAAACGAAAGTCCAACACCACAGGATGGTTGGGAGACATCAAGAAAGTGGCGGTGTGCACCAAATTCTTCGCCAGGCTCCCCGTGTGTCCCAAACTCGTGGGCGCTACTGAAGTGCGTCGGCGCGCGCAGGGCAAACTCTAGGGACACCAAAACGATCCAAAGAGTGCCCCAGACGAGCCAGAAAAGCCCCAAAGGACTCCCAAAGGAGTCCAAGAAGGCCCCGGGTCAACCCAAGATCGTTCCACGACGCCCAGTAAAGCCTCCAGGCGGCCCAAAAGGCACACAAGACGCCCTGCGAGGGCCTCCAAGGGGCTCACCAAGCGGACCCCGGGATGCCCAAACCACTCCTTGTCTTTAGGTGTTCGAGGGGGTGTAGCGTTCCCGCACGTTCGGGCCTCTCAAGCTCCAAGACAAACCGAGAGGTTCCGAAATTCGCCTCAAGACGGCCCAAGATGCTCTCAAGAGGGCCCCCAGACGGCCCAAAACAGCCCAGAGATCCCAGAACGGCCCCAAAGGGTCCAAAAACGAGGAACTCGAACTGACATGTCTTGCCTTCCGTTTCGGGACGATTCCCGAAACAGCCGCCGCGCCCCCAGACTCTCTCCAGCAGAACCAGGAAGCCCCGCGACACAAAAATCACCTCCAGCCTGCTTGCGAAAAGCACCCCAAGAGATCTGGCAGCGAGCGAAGGGGGAAATGAGAAGGAGAAGGCCTTCTCAGAAGGCGGTGGGAATTCTCTGAAACCCTCGCGCCTTCTCAGAAGGTCTCTGCGTCTTCGGGGAGGGCCCAGAAAACTTCTCAGAAGGCCATGGGGACTTCCGAGCCTTCCGAAAAAGGCCTCGTCCCTCTCGCCCCCCCCCCCTCGCTCGCCGCCAAGAGATGCAGAGCGCCCAGGATCGCCCCCAAACTACCCCAGGTTGCCCCCAAACGCGGGCCCGACGCGGCCGGACCAGGCAGGCCCCGAGACGACCCGCGAGGCCACCCTGCAGGGACCGATATCTGCGGGACAAGCGCGGGCCCACACGTCGAGCCCAGCCGCCCGAAGGGGGCCTCCGAGGCTGCCGCCGGGGCCCCGGTGAGAAACATGTCCCAAACATCGAAGACTAAGTTATTCGAGGTTTCGTCTTCGACTCCGTTCCCAGCGCCCCGACGTGATGTCTGTTCATCGTGTTGGCGCCCTCGTTGTCGTGAAATCATCCTCGGAGGGCCTCCTTGTGACGCTCCCGAAAGAAGGTAAAAGGGAGGACGAGGCCCCGGGAGGAGCCCTCCAACGCCGTCGCTCGGACGTCGCTCCGACGCCCACTTCCCCGCGCAGTTTTTTGGGTTCCGTGCTTCATTATGTTTTTGGTTTCTCCTTTTTGTTGTTCTTTGTTATATGTTTGTTTTGTTGTTTTTCTTATTTGTTCTATTTGTTTGTGATTTCTCCTTTGTGTTTCTTCATTGCTCTTTTTCCTCAAGATGCTCCTCGGTGGTTCCCGTCGAGAAAAACGCACACGTCCGAGCGATGCCAAGCGCCTCGCCTCGGGGGCGCGCAAACATGGATAGGCGATCCATGGATCTGCCGCGCGGTCGCCACATCCATGGATCGGGGGAGGTGCCCCCCCCAAAATGCGGCCGGTGCCGCCCCGTTCGGCGGCAGAAATCGTGATCCTGCATGAGAACGGGACGCAGCGCTAATCCACGCCCGCTCAGTCCATGTCTGCGGTCGCCTGAATGATGAACTCTCCGAGAGGCCTCCGAGAGGCACCCCCAGGAGACCCGCGCGTGCAATTACAAAAGGCCCCGGGCCCACGACCCGAGCACGTCGCCGGGATGGGCGGAAGGTCGTAGGACATGTCGAGTTGGAGGAGGCTAGGGCTGGACATGAACGAGGTTGTTGGTCTTGCTTTCGTGTTGCTCCGCCTGTTTTTCGACACCTTCCTGCCGCAAGGAAGCGCAAAACACGGCCGACGTCCAGCAAACCAGCGTTCAGGTCCGGCCCTCGAGGAGGCTCCCACGGGGGCACACGGCGGAGAAACAAGAAAGCGAGGCAACGACCCCAAAGGGCCCTACGACGCTCCAGGACAAAGAAGGAGGGCCCCCAGGAGGCCCCAAGAATGACCCAAAACGTCCCAAGAATCGCTGCGCTCCCCTTGTCAATCCCCGTTTCCTCCGTCTTTCTGTCTCTGTCCGTCTGATGGTCTCTCTCTCTGGAGCGAGCGTCGGTCCTGACAACTCGCATGCATCGAACGGCTGGTGAACGGAACGTTCGGGGAAATGCCCGATGCACTACGTCGGAGGGTGCGGAAGGCAAACCACGCCTTCGCCACCTTGTGCGTAGCACTTATAATAGCTACCTCTCTGGACCGTTGGCGTTTTTTCGGCTTCTGTGTCGCCCGCTTGTACCACGAACTCAAAACCAGGTTCCAGAGGGCGAGCGGCGCATGGCCAAACACTGGCCCAGAATAGAAATTCCTTATAAGAGTGAGGGGGCCGAACGGTCGTTCATTGTCCCTGGGTGCATGGCTGAAATGGGGATCTGTGGTGAAGTTTCTGCGTGCTGCATTTTTGTTGTTGTTGCTGTTGCTGTTGTTCGTGCCGTTGTTGTTGTTGTTGCTGTTGGTGTTGTTGTTGTTGCACTTCCAGTTCTGAAGAATAATTATTGCTGATGCCTCCTCACCGGTGCATGCTCTTTGTCTCCATCAAAGTGTGCCCCTCAACGCTCGCATCCTGTTTTTTGACAAAGAAAATCTTGATGCTCAAACTGCGCCCCTGGCCCCCGGGTTGCAACAACAACGGCTCCCGCCTGAGATTTCCTTACAATTTAACCAGGATCCCCGCTCCCGCCCGAACCTCCCTCGCATTTTACTCAGGAATCGCGCTCTCGCTTTGGACTTTCTTGCAATGTATTCAAGAATCGCTCTCCCGGCGCTCTGGAGTCGCGCTTTCGCTTGAGACTTGCTTGCCATTTACTGACGAATAGCGCCCTTGCGTTGGAACTTCCTGCAATT